CCCAAATAGGAACAGCTGATGAATTGGGCTCCATTTCTGGAGGTGGGCACTCAGGGCAGGGGAGGTGGCATGTTGGACTGTTAGGTGCCAAGACCCACTTGAGCTGAGTCATCACGTGGTTCCATACAAGGCTCATCCTCCTTTGGTTCAAGTAGTTCCTGCTGTCCTGTTCCTGTAACATACAACTCAAATAATGAGTTATTTTCCCCTGAGATTAAATCTTCTGGAGTTACACACTGGATTTCCACATTCTTCCACAAAACCCACCAGGTGCCCTTGACCAAACATAATCCCACAAATAACTTGGCCTTATCCCAAGGGAGGAGCAACCTAAACAGCCTTTTCCAAATACTAACAAGCACTGGCTCTAATATGCAGTAAAGTAAGCAAGCTTAGTGACCATCACAGGAGCCTGCCAATTAACAACTGTAATGTACTCAGATCAAAGCTGTCATTATCTTTAGCCCCACCAAGAAGGACTCTAGTGGGTTGGCCCTGCCCAACAGCATGCACCCAGTGACTTGCTCACTCCCCTCTCCCGCAAGGTGGGGAGAAGATAGAAGGAAGATGGGAAGACTCATGAGTAGAGATAATGGCAGTTTAATGGGGAAGGCAGAAGCTGCATGCTTAAGCAGAACACTGGGCAGATGTTCAGCCACTTTCCAGGAAGCACGGCCTCGGCACACTTAATGGCTCCTTGGGAAGACAAACACAATAACCAGGAACATTCTCCCTTCTTCCTCTTTTTCCCTGAGCTAATTTTTACTGTGTGCTACATCACAGCATGGAATGTCCCTCTGTCAGTTGGGGATGGCTGTCCTGGCTGCATCCCCTCCCAACCTCTTGCCCACACCAGCCTTCTGGCTTGGGGGGGAAAGGAGCAGGACAGAGTGGGAAAGAGAGAAAGCCTTGGTGCAGTGCAAACGCTGTCCGGTAATAGCCAAAATATTCATGTGTTATCAGCTGGTTTAGCCAAAAGTATAAAGAAAAGCACCATACTGGCTGTTGTGAAGAAAATAGCAGCCAGACTTGGTACATCATCCACTAGGGAGGTCGTGGATTTGAACTCCTGAAGTAAAATTTCCCAAAGCTTGCTTGTGAAAGGCCTTTATCTGGACAACTGCTGTTGTTCTCAGTAGGGTTATTGCAGCTGAATAATTAAGGGAGTTTTAAAGCTTTTGCACTGTTGTGCACTTGGCCACATGGGTTGTGTAAACTTTATTGTTTCATAGCTTAAGTGTGCATACAAAGAAATAAACATGCAAGTAATCGCACAGTTATTCTCTGTTGTTTGTTCCACAGAGCAACATCAGAAAGATGAATATTCTCTGTTTCTTTATCCTGCTTGAAATGTGGGAAGTGGGATTGTAAAATGATGGAAGTGCTTGGTGTTTCTATTTAATTTAGTGCAATTACTAGATATTAAGTTGTCAGTTCCTCAAACTACTCACTAGAGAACTCAGTTTCCTTGTTGTGGGATCTCTTTGTGTAAAAGAAATTAACAGTTAAATGACTATACTTAATAGCTAGGACCTTCTTTGTTTGCTCTTAATGTCTTATCCCATAATGTTCTTTCTTACAAGTCTTACTCATGCTTGTAATTAGTCCCTATTTTTGGTCAACCAGCAGAGCTGTGGGATGTGTTAGTGAGGCAAGCACTGAAATATCAGTGTCTTACTGCTCTAACTTGCGGGCTTCCTTCTGAGCAGTCATCTTGCATTATTATTTTGTATGAGTACTGTGTTACTGCCCAGACATGTAAAATGGGGGCAGATGAAGCATGAGACTATCATGGGACTGACTGAATGTGACCCACTGTGAATAGACAGGCTGCTGCTAGGAAAATGGCTTGCCTTGATTAAACATAAGGGCTAACTATGCATTTCTTCGGTTTTTTTCTAGCAGTGACAAGACAACATCTGGACCTCTGCAGCCTCTCCCGGGTTATTCTGGCCTCTCGACATTGTTTCTGTAGCTTTCCTGTCTATGGATGGCTAATGAAGAGGGATGTTCAGTCTAATGGCCAATTGCTGCAGCTGGTTAAAACGGTGGCAGGAACCTGTCAGGTAAACATGTGAAAGTATTTTACATTTCTGTGATGACCTTTCCAAACTGTATTTCACCTACGTTTGACTTTATTTGCTGTATAATATTGGTTTGGACTTTTTAATTCTGTGACAAAATCCAGTATTTTTTTTTCTCCAAGAGAGAATCAATACATCTTCTACGCTTAAACTTAAACGTGTTAATCATCAGGTATTTTATTGCCGACATCAGGAAAATATAAAGCACAAAATTGTCTCCTTCACATGCTGTTTCACGTTGAGCATTATGGATGATGCTAGAATATTTATGTAAAGTTTATTTGATTTTTATCTTACTGATTTAGTTTCTGCATTTGGAGATTCTGAAGCGTAATATGTTAAAAAACTTTGTTGCCAAGAGTAGACAGTAGCCCCAGTGTAATACTAGTTTTCTTACTAAGTGTCTTAATACTGCATTTTGTGGATAGCCTGGTGATCCATTCTTGCTTATGGAATTCTACTGTTCCCATTTGTTACTTTTTCTTTGACATCCTGCATCCTTTTCTCTCCAATTAGCATACATGCACAGATAGAACGTAGTTTGTTTCAAACTATCTGGAAACTATGGGGAAGGGAAATAGAAGCTGCACCACGTTTATTTAGACTTCACAGTCATGTAGGAGGATTTGCTGTTTTCTTCAATGCTGCATTATTTAGGTTTCACAGAAGGTGCTGCTGTTCAAAGAGCTATGTTGGATTGAATAACTTTCTGGCATCACCAATCTAATATGACGATTGTGAGTTTATAAATGTCCATGGCTGTTTGGATTTTAGCTTACTGTTAAAAGTATAATTTTCTAAGATCCTACTGTTAATTTTTAGGGTTTTTTCTCAGAGGTTTTTGGCTTTTCTGAAAGAACCATCATAAATTACACTTCATATATGATGCTGTTAGAGTTTTAAGTCCGGAAATAACAATGGGTTTAATATTCTTCCATTTAAAGGGGCATAAAAATAAGTGAATTCCTTTGACTGCTCTTAAGTTTTTATGAATAAGGGGAACACTTGAGGTATAAATGTAGATATGTTTTTCCTCTTGTTTTGTTTAAAATCTTATCCTGGTATAAATTCTAACCTGTATACCAGTTTGCTTATATATTGCACTTACTCAACACCACTCGTTTACATATTTGCAGTCTAGATTGCTCCTGCTTGAAACAAAAGCACAATGAGTACCAGTGCTACTTACTTAAAACATCTGATGTTGTCTGCACAAGTTTTGTATACTGCATAGTGTTGTTCAGATGCACTTGTTGAGACAGAAATAAATTCCTAATACAGGCACAACTTCGAGGCAGAGAGATGGCAAAAATACAGGGGAATGGAAATTAAATTACAGAAATTGTTAAAGAGACCATGACCACTACCCCCTCCCCCAAAAAAAAAGGATAAAATTTACAGTACTGTGAAATTAAATTTCAACAGTTGGATAAAAGTTGAAAGCAAAATTGTCTCATGTAAAACTCGCAGTACAGTGATCCTGCACCTCTACTCTGCTCTCATGAGACCTCACTTGGAGTATTGTGTACAGTTCTGGAGTCCTCAACATAAAAAGGACATGGAGCTGTTGGAGCAAGTCCAGAGGAGGGCCACGAGGATGATAAGGGGGCTGGAGCACCTCCTGTATGAAGACAGGCTGAGAAAGTTGGGGCTGTTCAGCCTGGAGAAGAGAAGACTGTGTGGAGACCTCAGCAGCCTTCCTGTATCTGAAGGGAGCCTATAAGGATGTTGTGGAGGGACTGTTCATTAGGGACTGTAGTGGTAGGACAAGGGGTAATGGGTTCAAACTTAAACAGGGGAAGTTTAGATTAGATATAACGAAGAATTCTTCACAGTGAGGGTGGTGAGGCACTGGAATGGGTTGCCCAAGGAAGTTGTGAATGCTCCACCTCTGGCAGTGTTCAAGGCCAGGCTGGACAGAGCCTTGGGCGACATAGTTTAGTGTGTGGTGTCCCTGCTCATGGCAGGGGGGTTGGAACTAGATGATCTTAAGGTCCTTCCCAACCCTAACTATTCTATGATTCTACAGTATTGGACTTACCATTTCATACCTATGCCTGCTCTTCCATCTAATGAGAACAGAGGGGAGATTTAGATTAGATATCGGGAAGAAATTCTTCCCTGTGAGGGTGCTGAGGTGGTGGCACAGGGTCCCCAGAGAAGCTGTGGCTGCCCCATCCCTGGCAGTGTTTAAGGCCAGGTTGAACGAGTCTTGGAGTAACCTGCTCTAGTGAAGGTGTCCCTGCCCATGGCAGGGGGGTTGGAACTTGTATGAGCTTTAAGCTCCTTTCCCACCCAAATCATTCTGTGATTCTATGACATATTGAACACGAGATACACAACTGTAACAATGCCTGCTACTTCGTATTTTGATACCTGTTCTTTCTACTACTTTGTACTAAATTTTCTATGTGTATATTAAAAATTAATGTGATGTCTATGTAGAGAAAAAAAGTTTTGAAATATCTCATTTTCTTCTTTTTCTTTTTTTTTTTCTCCTTATGGAGGAAGGTGACACTAATAATGGTGGGTCTTGATAATGCTGGTAAAACTGCTACAGTCCGAGGAATTCAAGGAGGTAAGCAATTCATTTGTTTATCAATGAAAGTGAGAGTGTAATTACTAATTGTCCACCATTTAAATCTTAAAATAGTGCTTTATCTCTTAATTCATCTCTGTCTGTCATATTGTTGTAAGAAAATTTGGTGATCGTACTGCCAAGAGTGGTACACGTGTGGTTGCCAATGTGAGCATGTCACAGGCCCCATTGCGTGAAGACCTGCAGGTGATAAAAGAATGAAGGGATATTATCTTTGAGGCATAAAGATCCTGAATTTTGGTATCTGATACATCATACCAGGGTGGCTTAAAAAGTAGGTGCTCCTAGTCATATGCTTTATGATCAGGAGAACTAGCAGAGCAAGCTCCTCATCTGCTCATGGGCCACTGCACTCCACATTATGTTGAGCTGCGGTAGACCACTTCAGTGGTAGTTCAACAAAGTTGCTACCGTTCTGCTACCTCTTTTTCAAAGGTAGTAGTATGGCGTAAGGCAAGGTAGATAGTATCAAGAGAACTGCCTCTTAAGACATGGTGACATGCAGCATTAGAGCTCTTAGTCCACTGAGACAGAAAAAAATTAGTCCACAGAGGTGTTTAATTATCTTGGAAGCATTCAGAACAAATGTTCAGAGTACTTTTGTGCTTATGTGCCTTGACTTGTCAACTGTATTTTTAAGTGTGCAAAATGCTAAATTGCAACAAAACCTGCTCTGTGTTCTTGTTTAAATTGCATGAGCATCGTACCTTATTTTTGGACTAAAGGTTTTTTCAGTAGTTCAGTAAGTAGCTGAAGGAACATTGTAACTACAAGCAAGCTGTCTGTTACTGTCAGTTGCTTTAAGTGAAAGAAAGTATAGGACAAAACCTCTGAAGGCTGTAGACCACATTCTAATTAATAACTACTTTGAAATAATGCAAAATATTCTAGTTAATGATGTGTTTCACATCTTAGTATACATTTGAGAAACCAATGGTGTGTGCTTGTGCTGAAGTTGCTTTCAGGTCACCATCCAGTAACACAGATGTATCAGTAAACTTTATATAAAAATCAGTATTGTAAGTATATATAATGAGGAAAAGGTTCAAAAGAAGGAAAATACATGTATATTTTATAATATAACTGATGATTCTAATGATATCTATTTTATATCATTATTTTACCCAGAAAAACAATAGCAGTTTTCTAGGCGCTTACTTCACTGGGACACCACTTGATTTTGGAGGGTACTTTATTCCATGCAGTGACACATGCAAACAGGATATAATTCAAGATAAAGCTTGTGCTTATTAAAACTTTTCTATGTTTGTGTTGTTGCTGTTTTTTGAATTTTTTTCGTTGTGGGGTTGTCTTTCTAAATAACTTCCAACTTGTGTAGTATCACAAGTGTAGTTAGTAGTGTTTTGACAGGCTTGGAGACTCCACCTCGACTTTCTGTTTGCGCTTGTTACATAAGTTCACGGACTTGCCAAAGTGTGAATAAAGTTATGAATATTCTTTCATTTGTGTTCCTGAATCTTTGCCCTGAAAACATGAGTGCTATGCTATTTAGCTTTCCATTCTGTTTCAAAATCAACTTCAGTGTCTTTATCAGCTAAATGTTGCAGTTATTTTTAAAGATCCTTTTATTCTCTGGGAAAAAAAATGAGACAAGATGGGTATTCCTAAAGGGAGACTCCAGGAAAATATAGTTGTGACTTCTGTGACTGTCTCCCAGGGCTTGAATAGTGCTTGCCTTTAAAAGCAATTATTATTTTTTTTTTCTTTCCCTTTTAACAGGATTTGCAGAGATCAGAAACTTCAGCTAGTCTTTAGGGTTTATAAAACCAGTATTTTTGGCTGTGTACCAGCCATACAGACTATAGGAGGAGACTGCAGTTATGTCTGCTGGGTTTTGGAACTGAAATATGTTTCAGTTCTTAGGTCTCTTAAACCTAAACAAGTCAGTATGGTTACCAAAGTCTCATTTGCCAGAAGAGATCTGCAGCTTATATAGCAGACCCTGTTTTTACATTGAAGTTTATTCATCATTGGAGACCTCACTGTACAATGGGAGCTGATGTTTCAGCAATATCCCTGTACATACAGCACTATCAATAACTTTCATCCTTAACCAACCCTCATGTTCACATTGTTCTCTTTAATAAGAGCACATACTTATGGCTCACAGCGCAAAACAGTCTTCAGAATTAAGCCTGCTCAGTTTTGAATATGCAGTTTTTCACAAATGGGGGTCCCCAACCCTTCTCTTGATGGAGTGTTGGCTTACATTGTTCTGGCCAAGGGGTCTGTTCTAAATGCCCATCACAGCTGTGTGTGAAGGATTCTCTCAGAAGAGAAACATGGCAGTGGAAGGCTAATGGTGATTTAGCTTTTGCACTGCTCTTCAGAGCTCAGTGCTTTTGACCATGCCCTCATTTCCTGTTCTCAAAAAGCTGTATTTTACATCTGTTTCTCTCGCCTTGTGCTACCAAGCACGTAAAACAGTTAGAGAGATCCGAGTAACTCACCCCTACAGCAAACAGCTTAGTGGTGTGAGGCAAATACAGGGTTTCTTTGCCCTCTGAAAAGGGAGACAGCAAGCAAAAGTATTAAATATAAAGCATTTTGCATGACAAACTAAAAAAGAAGACAAACAACCCAAACAAACAAAACTACCAAAAAAAATTAAAATAAACAAAGGCCAAAACCTGACCTTGAATACAGGGAAACCAATAGTTAACATCCCGGAAGAACATGGTTTCAGTCATTTTATCTCAGCCCTTGGTTTGAACTTTTGAAGCTGTTTTAGCAACCATGAGGGATAAAGACTAAATTTGGCAGAGCACAAGGCTTCCCAGCTCATGATGCATTAACTGTTTTGATTGGTTTTCTTCTCAAACTTGGATTAATACTGTGCAAATATTATATAACTGTTCAGATGGGAGCATTGCTGGAGGTGGGGGATGTCAAAACTGCAGCACACTAGGCACCAGTACAATTTAACTCTGGTGTTAAGTATCAAAAGTTGCAAATTTTTTTGTCCCTCTCCCCTCCCCCTTACCAGTGCTCCTATCTAAATTAATTTAAAGTAACTGGTTGATAGACGAGTGTGTTAATTTGAAGTTATCTGAGGAGAGGGAAAATCTTCAGGTAAAAAAATATGTGGTTAGCAATATGGTGTCACTTAACAGGGAGGGTTTGCTCCATGTTTTTAAAATATGAATTTTGCTACACAAGTCATGATGTAAAATCCTCTTTAAATAACTAAGGACACTTTTTACTGAAGCCTTTCTTCTTTGAAATCTGACAGAGTCTCCTGAAGACGTGGCTCCAACAGTTGGATTTTCCAAGATTGACCTTAAACAGGGACGCTTTGAAGTCACCATCTTTGATTTAGGAGGTGGAAAACGAATTCGAAATATCTGGAGAAATTACTATGCTGAGTCCTATGGTGTAATATTTGTTGTGGATTCCAGTGACATTGCAAGAATGGAAGAAACAAAGCAAGCCATGATAGAAGTTTTAAACAGCCCTAAGATATCAGGAAAACCTGTGTTAGTGTAAGTAATGTTAAGAAATGTTTCCTTAATAATTGACTTCTGATACATCTTCTAAAGAAGTATTTATGTATAGTATAAACATAAGTGTAAAGAACACTAATGCTACTGTAACTGTAGCACTAAGCAATATTGCAATTAGTTTTACAGTATTTCTGAAGTATTTATGTATGCCAGTCTTAGTATCATACTAGTGAACAAAGCCTTTTCCCTTTTTTCCTCCCTTTTTCCAAAGTTGCATGTGGTGATATACTGAATCCATTCACTGCATCTGACATTAGATCTTATTTAGTCCTTCTCAGGGGTATTTCTCATCTCTTTCATTAGCAGTGGAAAAATAATTAGTTGTGGGGGTTTTTTTGGACTCTTTAAAATTCTAGGATTACTCGAAATGGTGGCAGGTTAAAGGTTATGCAAGTTTAGCATGGCAACATGGTGTCAAAATATTGCTACTATTTAGGCTTACATAAAGTACTTAAATTGTAAATGGTTGCTTATATTCTGCTATACCAGTAATCTCTCAGTAATAAATGTCTTGTTTGCTTAACACATGGTGGTGCTGCTGATACATGATCAGCAAAATCTCATTAAAGACGACTTACTGTAATAGTATTTGGGATGTGCTTTTGTTTCAGTCCATATGTTCAAAACCAAAAAAGTTAAAGTCTATAAGGTCTTCTTTCACAGAATAGGTAGATTCATTAACTTCTTAGCTTAAACACTAGTTTTTGTAAAATATTAGAAATAACATGTTATTCAATTCAGCCACACTCTAAAGGTCTTTGACGGAAAGTAGCCTTTTGAAGGCACAAACTATGAAAGTTTAAAATGGTTTATCAGGACAATATCTTTGTCTGGTGGGGTTAAGACCTCCATAATACAGTCATTACACAACATTCCTGTGGTGTCATAAAGAATCTGTAAAGTGGAAAGGCCTCTTAAGAAGTAGCATTGTAGGGTGATTTGGCTAATTGTTTTGATCAAGTGGAGAGTA